CGGGGAGGCGGCGGCGGGCAGGGAGACGACGGCGGGAGGGGAGGAGGAAGAGGCGGAGGCGGCGGCGGGATACCCGGCTCCGGGATGGTGCAGCGCGGCCCGCGGGGCCGGGGCGCGGAGGCTCGGCGGGAGCCCTGCGCCCCACTGCCCGCCCGTGACACCGAGCCCGCCTGGTGCAAGACGCCGAGCGGGCACATCAAGCGGCCCATGAACGCCTTCATGGTGTGGTCCCAGCACGAGCGCCGCAAGATCATGGACCAGTGGCCCGACATGCACAACGCCGAGATCTCCAAGCGCCTGGGCCGGCGCTGGCAGCTCCTGCACGACTCCGAGAAGATCCCCTTTGTCAGGGAGGCCGAGCGTCTGCGCCTCAAGCACATGGCTGACTACCCCGACTACAAGTACCGGCCTCGGAAAAAGGGCAAGGTGGGCACCGGAGCAGCCCGCCCTCGGCTCCCAGTGAAGATCAAGCCCTCCGTGTTGGGCCGTGTCTCTGCCAGCCGCAGGCAGCCCGCCAAGCTGCCCACCGGCCCCGACACCCCCCAGGAGCCCGCACCAGAGGTGCCCGCTGAGGACAGCCCTGTGGTGCCTGGCACGGCTGCCTGGCACCCGGCACCCGACGGCGAGCACAGCCCCCAGGAGCCCCCTGCACCCCTGAGCCCTACCACACCCTGCCCGGAGCCAGGGAGGTCCCCAGAGAGCGGGTCCCCCTCTCCCATGTCGGCTGGGTCCCCTCCCTCTTCCTTCAGCTCCTCTGACGAAGAGCTGGAGGAGGAGCTGCTGGGGGTCATGCCCGGGCGGGCGCCTGCCAGTGCCACCTGTGGTGCCCTGGACTGGTCCGTCTTCGACAAGGACCACGACCTCTACCCGCGGGGAGGCTCCTCGCACTTCGAGTTCCCGGACTATTGCACGCCCGAGGTGACGGAGATGATAGCAGGGGACTGGCTCATGTCCAGCATCTCAGACTTGGTCTTTACCTACTGAGTCCCACGCTCTGCAGGTAACACTCATTTTTATTTTCACCCACAATCAGGTCATATCAAAAAACAACCCAGGAAACAAAAAACAAACAAACCGAAACCAGCTGTTTACATGCAGGAATCAGGTATTTTGCCTTGAAGCTGCTGGAAGGCAGAGCCCCTGCTCCCCCCACCCCCTGGCACACACCCATTCTCCATCCGTCTGTCTGTCCGGCTCTCGCCTCGTGCCCGCAGGACGCATGGCCGCCTGCCGCGGTTATTTGCCCGTGAAATGCATCTCATCGGGTTTTCATTATCACACCCGGCCGCTTTCCCCCACGGCCCCGGCGCTGACAGCCGTGGCTGCTCCCGGCCGCTCCCATCTGTGCCAGCACCGTGTGCCCTCCCGCTCTCCAGGAAGCAGGAGCATCCACGCCACCCCAGCTCTCGGTGCCCACCCCACCTTCCCCATCCCTTGGAGAATGGCTGATTCCGTTTGGTTTTTGACTGCATTGAACGCATGGCTTCAATTCTCTGCTCTTCCTCTTTGCAGCCCTTGGGGAGGGATGCCGAGCCATGCCAAACTGTCCCTGCCCAACTCCCTGTTTTGTGAGGGGTCCCTGCTTTGGGGGTTCAGTGTCCCCCAGCAGTGTCTCCTTCCCCGTGGCGCGTGCTCCCCGCCACTCGCTTTGGGAAGAGTGAAGTTGCACACACGTGACGCGCACGTGGGCGCGGGAGGCTGTGTTGTTTCTCTCGCCAGGCAGTTGTGCAGGGAAAGCCATGCCACGGAGGGAGCCATCTGTCCAGAGTCACCCCAAAATTGTACGGGGACCAGCCCTTCACTAAGCAGCCAGCCCTCATTTTAACCTTGGAGCCTGTGCCCGTGCGGGACCTGCTGTGGGCTGGCTGACCTTGGCCGGTGGAGCTGGGTGTCACTGTGCCCAGCCGTGGCGTGTGGTGCTGCCGGGATGGCAGGGAGCAGCATGGAAGGGCAGGGTGGCAGCGAAGGGCAGCTGCGGGAAATCTGCCTTAAGCAGCCACCCAAACTGGTCCAAGAGCAGCAGCAGCCAGTGCTGGTGGGTGTGTGGGGGTGTGGGTGATGCTCTGGCGCAGGGCTCCTCCACACAGCACCACGCTGGGCTCCGCTGCCGACCACGCCAAGAGCAGGGACATGCTGGCAGGGAAGATGCTGCTGCAGCGGCTCCTCCAGCTGGGATTTTCTTTGCTTTTCCTAATGGCTCCTTCCTGCGACAGCCGCCTCCTCCCACTGCCGGGAGCACGTGGCTGCAGTGCTGGCTCGGCAGCTGCCGCAGGCTGTGGTTGGGGGGGCAGGGGCTGCACTCTGGTACAGCTGTGCCGGGTGGGGACCCCACACATCCCCGGGGAAGTGGTCATGGCTTGGGCTGGCAGCACCTGCAAGAGTTCTACTGGGCTCGGCAGCAACTGCTGCTTGAAGCAGCCCCTGCAGTCCCCCATGACCCCGATTCCCCAGGCCCCCTGGATTTGCAGGGGCACCTCGGATCCTTCCCTGCCAAGGGGGTGCTGGCTGCAGCAGAGCACCCGCTGCTTGGGGCTCTGCCTCCCTGTTTTGGGGCTGCCGGTCCCCCCAGTCACAGGCTACCCCGTGCCTGCCCCTTGCTGTCAGGCTGGACTGAGCCGTGACATCCCCCCTCCCATGTCCTGGCATCCCCTGAGGGTGCCTCGGAGTAGGTGCCTGGCCCTGCTGCTGGAGCTGCTGGTGGCCCTGGCTCAGCCGTGGGGACAGGCACTGCAGCGCAGGGAGAGGCGTGTCCCTGGGCACTTTGCAGGGATGCTTGATGTCCCCCAGCCCAGTCCCTGGGGACCCCTCGAGGCCCCCCGCGATGGTCAACCATCAGCAGTGTAGATGTGTCGGTGTGTAGCGGTAGCTGTGCGTGTGTGTTGGCATTAGCCACGGTGTTTCGGTACCCCCGTGCGGGTGCCAGCCTGCGGAGCCAGGCGGGCATCACGCATCAGACACGTGTTCCCTGGATAGAGCGCGTCCTCTTCTCTGCGTCCCCTCCCTCCCCGGCCGTCCCCCACCGGATCCAGTCCCGCCCCCAAAGGTGGAAAAGCCAAATAAGCGCCGGGCCGGCCGTGATTCTGGCAGCCTGCTCCCGCCTCACCGCCGCCTCGGGGGGACTTTGCCTTCCCACCCCCTGGGCAGCCCCGCTCCAGGAGCATCTGAAGCCGTCTCCCATGTGTGAGCCGGGTTCGGGGTTCCCGTGGGGTCCGGCGGCCCCAGAGCTCTCTAACACACACGGATCTCACCCAGCACCTCGGTGCCTTCTTGGGGTGCACAGCCACCCCATGCTGTGGCCAGGGCTTCTCAGGGAGGGCGCTGAGGCTGACAGTCACCTGCCCTCCATCCCTGTCCATGGGGAAGCCAAAGCCCCCAGGTACCAGCAAGGCCTGAGGCCACACTGAGGGTCTCGCATCTCACGTGTGCTTTGCTGACCCTGCAGCTCAGGGCTCAGCTTCCGTTCCTAGGGGGAACACGGGTCCCAGTGGTCCCTTACATGCTGTGCATCACCCTTGAGCCAGGGTGATCCCTCCACAGACTGTCAGGCGAAATATTTCCTCAGGAGCAGGTTCTGGGTCAGTGCCAGAACCGGAGCCAGTGCCGGGGTCTCCTGCCCTGGCCGCAAGCACAACATCATCCGCTTTGTCCCCGTCCTCACCCCTGTCCCCCTCCTCGAGTCTCGCCGGGTGTGTTTGTCAGGGAGAACCGTCGTGGACAGTGGTGGATTTTCTGTGCCGTGTGGTTGTAGTGCTTAGAGACCCCCCCAGCGTGCGGCCCCTCCCGCTGCGCCCCCGCTGCCCGGTGCTGGCTGGCATGCGTGTGCGAGCGTGTGTGCGTGCGCGTGCGACATCCCGTCATCACTCCAGACAAAGCGAATAATAATAATAATAGTAATAATAAATAATAAAAATAAACCAAACCTCTCTCAGGAAGCAGCTGCCCTGGCGGCGGCCGAGTGGGCCGGGGGTCCCCGGAGCTGGCGGGGCCCCGACGCAGCCTGCGGACGGGCGCCAGCGCTCGGGGTCACCTTTGTAGTGTTGTGTTAGTGAAGGGTCCCTGTGTCTGTTATCTTGGAGAAACAGGATTTTAGCCGAGGGGCAGTGACGACCCCGTCTGGGTCCGTCTTGGGGGTGTGACATGGCTGGCCCTTGCTCTGCAGAACCTCGGCTAACAATGATCCTGACTGTTGTGATTATGGAATAAAGTGTGTTGGTCTGCTTCGCTTGGCTCTGGCTCCTTCTCTGCTGCCTCACTCCTCCCAGGGGAATTTGGGGTACCCAGGGCTATGTGAGGTCTCCAGGGAGATGAGGGATTCCCAGTAGCCAGCATCCGGCTCCCAGGTATATCAGTTCCCACCCTGAGCCCCGGTTCCTAAGGGCTCTCCTGCAGCGGGGAGGTTCACCCTCATCAGTCAGTGTGGGCTGGGCGTCCCCGGGAGCAGTGTGAGCATGTGCATGTGTGTGCACGTATGTGCAGTGCGCAGGCAGCCCCTCGCCCCACCCGTGTGTGTGTGTGGGCAATCCCGGCGCCGCCCCCGACTCCGTTCAGCCGGGGGAGGGGACCGAGGGTGATCGGGGAGGGAAGTGGAGAGGGAGGGAACCGGGGGTGCTAATCCAGACCCACGGGGGGGGGGCACGGGGTCACGCGCCACTCGCATCACACCCAGACCCCCGCCCCCAGTCTCACCGCAGCTGTTGCCACGGCAACAAGAGGAGCCCAGAGCATCCCCGGGTACTGCCAGCCCCTCCTGCTGCCCTGGCGCTGCTGGGGACCGGGCTGTCCCCGAGGGAGGGAGAAGTGCAGGGGTTGCCCGTGCCACGGTGACCCCCCCCAAGTCTGCAGGCTGCACCCCCGGGACAGCCCCCAGCACCGCCCGCGGCCTGGGCGGTACCACAGGGGCAGCAATGTTCCAGTGTGGTGTCACTGCAGCCCCCGGCAATGGGATTGTCTCTGTGCAGGGGCACTGCTGGGAGCAGGGGGGCCCATGGGGCAGCCACAGGCAGAGCTCACTGGCCATCACCACTGCCCCCATCACTTTGGCAAGGTCAGGGCCACACGGGGCTCTTGTCTACTGTCCAGCATGGCCCACACAGGCACATGCACACGCTGCCACTGGCCTGGTTGAGTCACATGCAGCAGTGGCCTCTTGGCTACCCTAAAGATGTCACATACCTCCTGCCACCACTCCTCCTTCCCCGCTGCTGCTCAAAGGGTGCTCTTCTCACAGGGATTCAAGCACGGTTTAGAAAATGGCTCCTGGAGAAGCCACAGGCAATTAAAAATAGCCAAGAGGGCTGCCAGCCTTGAGCCATCCAGACAAAACCGCTTCCAGCCTGGCCAAGGCTGCTGCATCACCCCAGCTCAGCGGAGCGTGCCCCGGGATTGGGCATCGTGCCCGGGATCTCCTCCTGCAGCCGGGCACCCGGCCTGGGGTACAGGGCAGCGGGCAGGTCAGGCTATTTCCAGCCCCACGCTGCTGATGGGGGGGACACCCCAGAGAGCCAGCAGCACACACAAGGCCTGGCCTTGGCCCAGAGGGAGGCAGATGGATGGAGAACAGTGACCGGGGCACGCACACACCCTTTGGCTCTGCTCCTGCTCCCACGGGGCTGCTGGGTGTGAGGCCACACTGAGCTGGCCTGGCCACCGCAGGGAAGGTGCCAGTTCTGGGCCCCAGGGTGCCACAAGAGCAGATCTGGCAGCCCTGGTCTGCGGAGGGCAGGAAGTGTGTTTAGTAACTGTTTATTTTACAGTTTTAGGGCGTGTAGAAATCTGCATTTACAGGGGTGTATAAGTCTTTGTACAGAGTAACTGAAGCACCCTGGACTCCTCCCAGGCCCTTCTCCCCCCACTGGGGACAACACAAGAACTAAAGTGCATCATGGCCAGGGAATGGAGGGGCTGCAGGGGCTCCTCCTGGGGGGCTCCAGCCATCCCCTCCTTCAGCGTAATGTACAGAGCAGTCCTGGGCCCTCCAGCAGCACTCCCAGGTCACCACACTCTCCAGTGGTTTCTAAAGTGCCAAGTGACCCAGCCTCCAGTCCTGCTCTGGGGGTACCAAGGGGCCAGGAATGGGCTCTGCCTTCAGCCACACTGGGAGGAGCCCCCTGAGCAGCCCCAGGTCTCTCCAAGGCCACTGGCACCACTGAGGAGAGGAGGGAACAGGTCTTGCTGCCTGCCTGGACAAGGGCAGTTTCACTCACTCCACATTTCACCTGCAGAGGCTCTGCTTAGAGCTTCATGGGAACACAAGTCAGGAATGAAAACTGCCCACCTGCCCTCTGGCCAGAAAGGCACATCCCTTCCATGAAGCAAGGGCCCATGGGGCAAACCAGAACACACCCAGGGCAGTTATGGACAAAGAAGGGTGGGAGTTGGGGGTGCTGAGCTCTCCAGGGCATGAGTTTTCTCCTCTATCCCAAAATCCCTTCAACCAACACCTCCTTTTCAGGTGTGCAGCCCCTGGGCATGGCACAGATGGCTTTGGGCACAACAGAGCAATGATGGGGCAGAGGGAGGGAGCTGTGAGGGACAGGTAAGGACACTTGAGGGAGATTTAGCAGCTTGGGGGAGAGGTAGAGGCATAGAGTGTCTATTGGCTCTGTCTCAGTGGGACACTGAGTTGTCTAGAAGGATTTGCTGCTTAGCTTGGAGGGCAGGGAGCGCTGGGACTGCCAATGGAACTCATGGGGAAATGGGAGCTATGCAGGGGTCAGGGTGGCCTTTCTGGGAAATCCCTTGTGGTATTTCCAGAGGTGATGTTGAAGCCTGATCAGCCTGTGGGGGAGGTTTTTGTCACATTTCCTAGTGCAACAACTTCTATTCTGTGCAAAGTATTTCACAAGGTGGAAAAAGCCTTTCTCCATGTGGGCATGTTAAGGTCCACTTCCAGAGCTATTAAAGAAGTCTGCAATGGGTGTTTACAGTGCCACTAAAACTTGTAGTAGCATAACAGTACACACCCTCAGCAGGGTGACTGCACTCGTGCTCACCTCACTGACCCCAGATATGGTCACAGTACTGCCAGAGCAGCAGTGGCAGTGCCTGAGAGCTGAGGGGAGCTAAGGTCTGCTCCTGGCCCCCACAAACAGATCAGGCTGCAAAGATGTGGAAGCAGAAAGAGCCAGGGAGTGTTACACACTGAAGAGAAGCTCACAGCATTGTGCTGGCCAGGGTGTGGGAAAGGTTTGGCTCTGCTCAGAGGGTGTCCACAGGACAGGGAAGAGCTGGAGCACTGGCAAAGCTGAAGGCAGATCGTGGGGCACACTGGAGCAATGAAGAGCCAAAGGGTTGCCCTGTTCCTCAGGAGTGCAACGCCCTTCCCCCTCACACACGCAAGCACCCAGAACAAACCCTGTTGGACACCCTCCTCCAGGCGAAGATCTGCTCTCACTCCCACTAGTTTTCCCCAGTGGAGAGCACAGGATCATTTGGGCACAGCCCACACACAGCTCTCCCTCTGTACAGTCACCTGAGCACAGCCTGACCAGCCAATTTGTCCATACCTCTGGTTCCTCAGGAGACAGCAGGAGTGCCTGTCTGCTCACCCTGGCACAGGGAGAGGAAAACAAGGTGAGCATGGTGTGGGGAACCGTCCTGCTGGGCTGGTTCCCTCAGTCTCTGTCACAAAGGCCAAAAGTGTTACTGGACGCAGTAAGAATAATAAATAGTCTTCAGACAGGTCGTTTCTGGACATGTCCTTCATCACACATCAGCCTTTCCTGCTGGGGATGTGACAGCAAAGACCCTTCCTCCGTCTTCAGGGGAAAATCTGCAGCTGGAACTTGGGTGCCCACTCCAGCGCGCTCTTCACCATGGCCAGGGCAGCTGCTCCCAGCGCCACCGTCAGCCCCATCACTGCCAGCTTGACAAAGCGGTTGGTCCGGGGCTTTGTCAAGATGGATTTTGTCCGCTCCTCCCCTCGGAGCCGCTCCTCCCCTCGCCAAAAGTGTTACTGGACGCAGTAAGAATAATAAATAGTCTTCAGACAGGTCGTTTCTGGACATGTCCTTCATCACACATCAGCCTTTCCTGCTGGGGATGTGACAGCAAAGACCCTTCCTCCGTCTTCAGGGGAAAATCTGCAGCTGGAACTTGGGTGCCCACTCCAGCGCGCTCTTCACCATGGCCAGGGCAGCTGCTCCCAGCGCCACCGTCAGCCCCATCACTGCCAGCTTGACAAAGCGGTTGGTCCGGGGCTTCCGCTCCTCCCCTCGGAGCCGCTCCTCCCCTCGGAGCCGCTCCTCCCCTCGGAGCCGCTCTCTGAAGCGTTGCCTCAACACAGTGTCTGGTCTCTGCTGCACTGATGCCAACTCAAAGTCCTTAAAAGTGGAAGCCGCAGTTCTGCAAGAGAAGGAACAGGTCAAGGAGGGTTCCCTGCTCAGCCCTGGGACCAGCCTCCCGTCAGGAAGATCTCCACAGGGAGGCAAGAACTGGCAAGGGGATGTAGGGAACACATGGGCTGCCCGGCGCTCACCGTTCCGCCTGAGCTGCCTGAGCTGCCTCCTTGGCGAGTTCAGAAGGTGGGAACTGGACAAAAAGGTCCCCGGCTTTGCTGATCAGAGACTCATAAGGAAGGTCTTGTGGGATCTGGGATAGGAGGTGGTGGACAGAGGCCATGTCACACTCACAGTCCAGAACTTCCTGCTCCCGGTGCAGCACGATCTGCAGAGGAGTGAGAGGAGGACAGACAAGGAAGTGGGGACAACTCCTTGGCAGATGCTGGCACTTATTTCAGAGCCAGAAGAAAAAATCACTTTACTTCCAGCTGAAAGACCTTCTTCAAAAGGACACTCTGCAGTGAAGCATTCACTGGGAAGAGAAATGCCAAACCCCTCTGAGACACTGAGGCCATGGGAAGCCTCTTTCAGGGCACTTAGGTCTGTCTGCTGAGCAGAGCCTGCTATTGGCAGGTCGGAGACGGGGGCAGAAACTCAGCAGGGTCTGACTTCATGACTTGCCCTCTGCTATAGGAGGATGGGCAGCATGGATGCACAGTGCAGGGCTGTCCCCAGCCAGCCAGGCATCCCAGTATGTGACCAGAAGCAGGACCAGCACATGAGAGGAAACAAAAACACTGTGCTGTTCTGCCTCCACAGCACTGAATTGGTAAAGCCTGCACATTTGGACATCCTCAGGCTGCCCTGAGTTCCCCTGCATCCCACCTGCCCTTTACCATCACCAAGGACCTCATCTGCAGAGCAGGGTACAGCTGAGGACAGCACCAGCACTGGGTTTGTTAGCCTCCCTCTGCAGCCCCAAACTCCTACCACCTCAGAACAGCCCAGTTAATCCCTGAGCATTCCATCAATACCTACCACAGCTGCAAAATAAATGGGCATCAGCGGGTGGCAAGCCAGGAAGAAGTCATATAATCGCACAACGTGCCGGAAGTCAGACAAAACGTGGCCAAACCAGGTGATCAGCCAGCTGAGGGCAAAGATGGTTCCCACCTCTGCACTACACAGAGAAAGAGCCATTAGGTCAGCCTGGAAACAGGGATGAAATGCTCCCAAGCCAGCCCTGTGCTGCACTGCCATGCCTGGGGAAATAGAGCTGGCTGTCAGTGGAGCACTGAACCCCACTAGAGCAGGAACTGCACCTCTGGCAGAAAAAATTGTTTATCCCCTGTGCCACCCCCTGTGGCAAAGTGCTGCCACTACTTGTGTCACATCCAGTGGGGGCCACAGCAGAGGCCAAACACTGCTTTCAGGAGACCCTGAATGTGTCATGTATCATGCCACTGTCTGGCTTGCTGGCCTGAGGGCAACTGAAGTCCTGCAGCACAGACTGATGTTTGGGTTCCTTCCTACCCTGAGGGCTTACTAATTCTGGGAGTTTGCAATCAGGGTTGGTACCCAAAGACATTCTGGCTGTGAAAAAAACCACACATCTGCCCAAAAAAGGGCTCTGAACTCACTCTTCCCATTCACCTTCCTGCTTCTGATTTGATCTGGCCAGACATACCTGTGTATCCCTAATGCAAAACCTGGTAATTATCCCCAGAACTAAGAACAAACTACAGCAAGGTCCCACCAGCCACACAAGTGGTCACGTGAAGCAGTTGTAGCATTTGTACAACACTGTCCCCAAATCCCCAGCCCACCAATACAGAGTGCAGACAAATGGGCTGAAGATGGCACCATGTAAAACCTCTCCAGACAGGCATCACAGGTTTGAGCCTGCTCATAAAATGAGTGCCACATGCCTTTGGGGTGTCACCATCAGCTGTGGGACAGCTGTTGACTCCCTGAGGAAGCCACTGTGGTGCTGGGGATGTGTGGGTGAAAATGGCCCTGTGAACAGTAACTTGAGACAGGCAGGGGAGAGCCAGGAGGCCCTAAGGGAACATTTGCATACCTCTGCAGGAAGTCATGCACCTCAGGGTTCACCTGGTCTATGATGGGCATCAGGTAATTTAAAATGTGCTTGGTATTATCCATTGTTTGGTCCATAAAATCCCTGAGGAAAGATTTAAAAGAAGCTTTGTCAAGCAACAACGTCAGCAAGCTCTCCCTCTAGGGAGGCAGCAGAGGGTGAAGCACATGCAATAAACATTCTTGCTGGCAGGGTGGCCCCCAACCCCAAGGAATTCTGTCTCTTTGGAGCAGCCTCCTTCCTGCTTGTCTGGGACACACAGGGCTGACCTGCACACAGAACCCAAGCCCAGACCATCATGCTGCTGTCAGCTGACACTTCTTATTGATGCAGTGCACACAAGAACTGTAAAGCCTTTCCAGTACCCAAAATCTGACTCCTGCCTGGGAGAGGAGAGATAATCCCTCCAAACCACACTCTCCAGCTGGAAGCTTGCTCTTATTTCAGTGCACAAACAGGAAAGACTCTTCATGTGGGGTACAGGACACTGATAGTACAGACCATGCTGCCCAGGGCTATGCAAGGACAAGTGGGAGACAGGAGCTGAGCCAGCCTCCAGGATGTGGAGAGGCCCTGACAGCCACACAACCATGGATAATGCATGTGTGTTGGCTTTTCCAACTCCAAGAGATGCTACAAATTAACTGACAGCCTTCAATTATCCTTTCCCCGAGGCACAGCTCCCTGCAAAGCCACGTGCTGTTGTGTGCTCAGGCTGCTCTCAATTACCCTCTGGGTACAGGCATGACAGGCAGCTGCTTTAACCCAAGGCTCTGCCTTCCCAGCTCCCCTTCCAGGCCAGCTCTACCTGCACAGGCGTCCCCACAGCCTGAGGACATGCAGTTGGCTCCTCTCCTCCCACTGAGTACCTGAGATGATGTGTTGAGAGCTTCTCCACCAGAGCTGTGGCCAGCCTGTCCCCCACCACCAGGAGGAAGGTGACCACGATGTCGTGGTACCCCTGGTAGTAGTGCAGCTGGGGGTTGCGCTTGAGGACGTGGAGGATGATATCGATGAGCTCCTCCTGCAATCCTTCCCTCTGGTCATCTGGCATATCTGTGGGAACAAGAGAGGTGGCACAGCTGTGTCACCTACCAGTGTCTGCTGTGGGAGCAAGGAGAGCACCTGTGCATTTATGAACCTGCCTGATCCCAAGGGATGTGGTGCACAAGGGGAGGGTGGTAAAACTGGCAGAAAAAACTATCTAAAGCCCTAATGCTGTCTCCCAAAACTCTGCAGGGGAATCTGGACAGTTGCTGAGAGGTTTAATCTTTAGATCTGCAGAACCCTTATCTGCAAGGAAGCCGCTGTGGAGGACGGGAGCAGGGTTTATAGATGTTTGCACAGTGCTGCTGTGAAGAGAGAATTGTTCTACACATCCAGCACAGAGGAGGATGTTTTAGTAATTTTTAATTTCCCAGGAGTTCTAGAAAAAAATTCAACAGGACCCATTTTCACAGAAACTATGCCAACTGCATCAGACTGCGAGGCCTCCACCAGCACAGCTTTCTATCAGTCCCCTGCTAACAACATGTGTTTAGGGACAGGATGTCACAGGGAAAACATTGTTCCTGCCTTGCACAGCTGCAGCCAGTTTCTGGCAGCCCTTGTCAACAGATAACACACCCAAAGGCCAAGCAGAGAGTCCCAGTGGAGATCCTGCAATGACAAAGTTCTCCTTTTCCTCTGCTTCACTAATGCGGCTAAAAATAGGCAGGAGGCTGCCATTCAAGGGCAAAAAAATCCGTAGGAGCAGAGCCTCCAGGAATCAGGCCTGCACACAGCATCCATGCCTGCAAGAATCAGAGTGAATCAAGTGTTTATACAAAATAAAAGTGGCAGAAGGGGGAGGCAGATTCTGCCCAGAAATAACGACTGCTCTGCACAGAGAGCTGCTGGATTTAGCATTTTATAAATAACACAAGGCACCAGCCTCCCATCAGAACTAAACAACTGCAAAACCATTTTGCTCCTAAATGTTTTAAGTTCTTTTAAATTTGGTGCAAGAACCTGATTTTGAAACTGTTTTATACCAGGGGTTGTGGGTTGTTCCAAGCACAGACAAACATGCCTTCCCTGCCCCTGAGCTAACCGTGGACTAAAATAAACTGAAGCAAATGGCATGTTTCTCAAGCTTTCCATCTGTCCTAATCTCAACAGGTCATGGTGCACAAGATCCATGCAGGATCCCTCCTCTCTCTGCTGCAACTGTCTGCCAGTAGGAGCCTCCTGGCAGAGGGGGGCAGTGGGGCAGGGGAAGCGGAACGTTGGAAAAGCCACGTCAGAAACCATCTGTGCAGAGACAGCTGCAGGGAACTGATGGCTGCAGAAGGGCTTCACTGCAAGAAGCAGCTGCTGGGAGCTCACACAGAAAAAGTTTTCTAGAAGTCAGGCCCTATGAGTAATAATGGAATGCCACCTTCTGCAGCCTCCCAGGGAGATGTGAGCCATGGCATTGCTCTTGTCCCTACTGAGTGGGAAGAGCAGAACCCCCCTCACCTGGTGGGAAGCGGCGCAGGGATCGCCGCACATCCAGTAACACTTGCTGGTAATCCTTATTGTCCTCTCGCAGCTCCTTCCTTGCTGAGAAAAAGAGGAACAGGATTAACATGAAGCACTGCAGTGGTGGGAAGACAGTAAGGTGAGGGAGCTGGGAAGATCCCTGCTGAATGTGGACATGAAGCTGCACACATCCCCTACTCCACTGTGTATCCCCTTTTTTCATGTCACACCTCAGTCCTGTCCCTGCACTTTCACTGCCACACACTCTGACACTAACAGCAAATGAGACAATTATTTCTTTAGACAACACATGTTAAAATGCTGAAACTGACAGCAGCACTCCCAGCACTCCTAGAAACATCTCTGCTACACAGTTTTGCTGTGCAATTCAAAGTGTACTCAGCAGCAGCACTGGAGGAGTGCTGTGGAGACCATTTATAAAATAGAAACAATTCAGAGGAAAATCTCACCCAGGGTTAGCTAAGACAGTTAAAGAAACAGAAAAGTTCAGTGAGCCAGCAAATTCCTTCTATGTGATCATGTAAAGTTAAACCTTGTCTTCCAGCAGCTCTGGTCACCTCACATCACCCTAATGCCACCTGGCTCTGGACCGAGGTGGGGGGATGCACGTTTCCAAACCATCACAGAATCAGGAACAACAACAAAATCTGTCTGGGGGGGGACTCTAAAGCTACAGGACCTAGAGCTCCTGCATTGCTAAGGTTTAAAAACCATATGGGTACTTCACCAGGAAGGTTGTTGTCCTTGTGCCTGTTCTGACCAAAAAACCACATGAGCTTCACACAACAAACTGCTGCCTGGGAGAGACACATCGGGAGAATTTTGGCCACACCAGGGCTCAGCACAGCCACCTCTTCATGGCAGCAAAACAAATCAAGTCTGATTCTTTCTACTGCAGGTGAACTTACACATGTCAGCTAATGCTCAGGGCCACGCTGACTGCATCAACAATGAACTGATTCCATGACTATCACTAAAGAAAACAACAAATGTTGTTTTTAGAGGTCATGTATTGTTTACATACAACACAGTATTGGTGCTGTAGTGAATCCCCTTTGTACACGAGCTTAGTGGGAAATACAACACACACAGGGAAAAGGCAGGTCAGAAGGCACGTCCCTCCTCTAGGGACAAAGTTCACGGAGCCATTCCTCCCAAGCAGCTGAGTCCAGGCTGTGGCATACCTGGAAGAGGGGGCAGGTCGTCTGTGTTAACACTGAGCAGCTTTGGCCACACTTTGCACCGGATCTCGTCCGTGAGCAGCCCGCCCTTGCTGATCGCCATCCGCCTCAGCGCTGCCACGTCGATGGGGTCACTGTTCAGAGCCCGGTAAATCTCTGCCACTTTTCTTTTCTTCTTAACATCAAAGTCTGCAAAAGGTCACAGAGACATGAGCTGACAGGCAGTGACAGCACACAGTGGGGGCTAGCAATAGCCACTCACAGTGATGTCACACACACACACAAGGGAGATGACACAGGACAGTCACCACACTGTCAGGACAGGGGTGACTCTGGTGGGGACCCCTCCAGCTGAGTGTCCCCATTTCTGCAGGCTCAGCATTGGGGGCACCTCAAAGGGAACTCTCACTACTTCCCTGTCCTGGGGGTCCCACTGTGGGGGGCAAATGCTGCTCCTCCTGACACCGGAGCCACCACCAGTGCCCAGACAGAGCAATTGGCTCCTGTCCTTCCCAACGGCTCACGGCTCCATACAGGATCAAGACAGCACTGCAAAGCCATCCTGAAACTCTTTGCTCTCTGATGCAACTACCAGCTCAGATGTCAAGCGTTTCCTAAGACCAGGACTTAGGAAAGTGTTCAAAAAAAGGTATGGAAAGTGTTCCCAAAACTGTGTTCCTACCGACTCCCAGGTGCAGCCGTCCTAGGAAGAAGCCTGAGTATTTCCACTGACAGCAACAGACACAAGAAAGGACATAATTACACCAGAGTTAAAGAATCGTAAGCACATAGACTTGTCCTACAACAAACACAAACCTGCCAGCCACCAGTACACACACAGCCCAGCCAGCAGGAAATAATTCCCACTGTTTTGAGGAGCACAGGAACTCGGAGCAGGGAGGGAAGGGGTAACACACAAAGCACACAGTGCTCGGGTTAGACACACTTACAGGACACCAGAGTGCTTCCCAGGGAGCGGAGAAGGGACATTACTTCACACCACATGGTGGAATTTGTCACCGCTGCCTCATGTGAGGAAAGCAAGAAGCAGCCGAGAGCCACTCGATATCCCACACTGGAGGAGTTCCCAGTAAGGAGGCTTTGCTGAGCAGCTGTGGGACTGGAGTGCAGGATGAGGCCACAAACACTGCCTTTCCCTAAAGGCTTTTCCCATAGATGCAACAACTCTTGGGATCCGAACAGGATTCGCTCTATAAGGGACGTGTCCAAATAAGATTTGGGGCGGGAGGAATTAAAAGGATTTCGATGGAGAAACAGCTGTTTCCCAAGGCCGCGCCCTCCCGGCAGGGATAGGGGAGCTCGTTCCTCTGCACACGTGGCTCCTCAGCCACTGCCCGGCCCTGCTCCTGCCAGCTCCTGGCTGGAAGTGCAGCTCTCAGCGAGCTCTGAAGGGAACCAGCAGGTCGGCAGGCTGTTCACACACACGGGTGCTAAGTAGGTCGAGCAGTGGATGCTGTTCCTTCTCAAAAACCCTTTTAAAACACTTCTTGGATCAAAACAAGCTGTAACAGCCTACGACAGAGCTCCAACTCCTCCGAATTCCAAGATCCTGGGAACATTAAATCTCCTATCGCTCACACAGTGACTACAGTTTCTTTTACTTCCTTTCCGGCCCCTTGTGCAAGCAGAGTTATTTGCACAACAGAAGCCAGCTCTGCTCAGCCGGTTCCCTATTCCCAGCCAGTTCCCTACCCCCAGCTGCTCCTGATCCCCTGCCACAGGCACACACTGGGCTGTCACATACCGATGCCTCGGGAAGGAGGAGACAAAGCCTAAGGGAGAAAGAACTGTTCACACACAAAGAACTTAAGGAGTAGTGGGAAGGAAGAAGCACATCTTGCGGGCTCCTCCTCTCAAACTTACTAATAAAGACCGCAATATTTACACTTTTCAAACACACAGGGGACAACAGCTGCGAGTATTACCAAAACCAGTGCACTGCAAAAAATGTTTTATGCTACAACCACAAGACATTAACTCGCAGGTTCACCCTAGGAAGAAGAGACACAAACGCAAGGTGAGGGCGGTCTAGAACCCAGATGAGTCCGTCGGTGGTTCTGCACCGCTGCAGGCACGGGGCACCGACTCACGGCCTCGCCAGGTCCGGCCAGCCCGGCGCTGCCGCAAAGCCCTCGGTCAGTGCCGGGGACCGCCCTCGGGCATCAATCGAGCCGCGGCCGCACAGCCGCAGGGTGGGCCGGACCCTTCGCTCGGTGCCGGGACCCCCGGCTCCCCCGGCTCCCCCGGCTCCCCCGCCCGCTCCCGCCGGGGCGGCTCCGAGCGCAGGCGCGGGCGGGACGTCACGGCGCCGCAGTGCGCAGGCGCGGCGCCCCTAGGCGGGTCGCACGGGCTGAGGCAGCCGCGCATGCGCGGACGGGGGCGCGCGGCCTGGACGTACCCCCAGAACGCCCGTCAGGGGCTGTTTAAAACCAACAAAAAGCAAACCCGAACCCTCCCGGTGACCGCCGGACAGGGCAATCCCAGCGCTGCCGGGGCCGCTAACACACCCACAATGCTGCTGCACGCAGGGGCTGCTGCCGGCACGCAAAAGAACCCCGTAAACCCTCCACAGTCCCCCGCCAGCGCTGGCAGCCACGGCAGCGGGAGGGAGAACGGGAGCCCGGCCCTGCTGTGAGGGCTCCAAAGCTCCTTCCGTGCACAGGGGGCCGTGCGTCCTTGTGCAAGGGCTGACAGGCACCGCGGCCATCCACCACTCCCAGCTTCCTCTTCCATTCTTATATCCTTTTGCAAACCTCCCTCGCTTGGAATAACGAAAGAACTGGGTAAAATGTCCTGCATAGCTCAGAACCAGTGCAAACAAGCTGTATTTTGTCATACTGGGTGCTTTTACGGTACAGCACATTGAGGTAACAGTCAACACAGTCCAACTTTCACATCACTTTAGGATATAAAAGATTAAGTACAATGGATTTCCACTGGATGAAGGCATGGAGGAGAAAGCTGTCCTGGTGTATGTGATAAACCTCATCTCCCTGCCGGCAATCCTCACAGAAAAGGGCAGTGTTCCATGTCCCACAATCAGTTTAATCCAGCCCACATGCCCCATCCTAAAATTAACTAAGCAACGTGGAAGCACGTGTCCATCCTCTCCAAAGAGCAGAGGAGGGATGGGTGCCTGGGACAAGCAGGAGCTGCAGGCCAAGGCGTCAGCACCCACCGAGGAACGCGAAGATCACTCCATGTCCACGGGAACAACTGCTGCAATGGCTCTGGGATGAGAGGTCACTGAAAGGGACAGGTGCCATTGTGCCTGCAGCCACACCAGCTGAGCCAGCCTAGCATTAGGTGACTGAGAACAAGTCACAGAAATCCAGTGAGTTGCAACAGGCAAACAACTAATAATTGGTTCATCATCTCAATTCCCCACCATCATGGCTGAGACAGGAGGGTTTTTTTGTTATGGCAAAAGATCCTTCTCCCACGAGTAACTTTGGCTTTGTGACATCTGTGTAAGGCTTCTCTGCACTGCTCCCCATGGGTGTGACAGGGACATGGCCTGCCCAGGGCACATGTGGCTGTCACCACTCCTGTGTCAGTGTATGACCACCCCAGGGAGGCCTCTACACAGGGAACTTAAATCTAACCTCGATAAATAAAACCAAATGTTTATTTACACCAAAGAATTCCAACACTGGATCTTTCACATATGAAGGACAAAGTATATATACACAGCAAGGGGTAGCAGGGCTGTAACAAGGGTGCTTTTCCGTTGTCAATGATAATATTTGTCCACAATTACTGATCTACCATTTCAGTTTAAGTTAACGTCTCCTGGCTCCTTCCTCTCAGTGCATATTTACAAGACTGTGAGGTAACTGGTATTCTCACCACATGGCACGTGAGGGAGGGGATGGTGGGTGAAGATGTGGGATCGGACTTGGCGCAGTCTGATTTTTCCAGCTTTAAGTAGCCACCAGCTCGAAACCTATAGAAACAATTTAAAAACAATATACCCAATAACAAATTAATTCCAGAGATCCAAGCCAAGCAATGGCTGGAAGAACCCTCCACGAGAAAGGGGCTGATGAGAGCAGGGCGTACTCTACAGGAGCACCTGTCTCAGGAGGTGCCAAGGACTCCAACTGAATCAGTAACTTCATTTTTAAGACTAAAATTACATGCAAGGGCTGAGTTAGCATTCTGGTTGACTCCTAAGGAGACATTATCCAATCCAATTAGGGTTTTGGACACTATCTGCACTTACTCCTTTTAAGCTTATCCCACCTCTCCCTACTGGAATTGTCTCCTCAGTGTACCCTGGCTGGGACATATGCAGGACACGGGGTTCAAGTGAGTGGTACTTTAAGAATCCCCTCCCCTGCCTCATGAAGACTTGGTTTGGTAGTCTCTGGAGAACAGCACAATCCCCCAAGGCTTGTGGAGGAATAATGGTGGGAACATGAAGAGAAGAGATTTCCAGCAGGATGCAAGAGCTTGGAAATGCTGTTGATTCATCTTTGTTATTACATGAAGAGTTGTTTTGCTGCTTTGTTTAGGTTTTTTTTTTTTTTTTTTTTTGGGAGGGGTGGGGGAGGGGGAAAGAAAAACTGTCCAAGAAGTATTCCATCTGTAGGTATTTTCAGGGAATCCCCTGAGTTACGAAAAGTTCAAGTAAAAAAAGAAAAAAATCAGCCTATAATAATTTTGTATATAATGACTGAACTACTATAAATCCACAAGCAACAGTTCAGACACGGTGTCTCCAAAGCGTTCATCCCCTCCCTTCCCCTGCCAGGCACGAGCTGCGTCCTGAGGAGAGGTGGAGGGGGAAACCTCTTCCCCACCTGACTCAGCTCAGGCAGCAGGAGACAGAGCCCGTCACTACTGCTGGGCGCCCGCAGCAGCTGGAACCGGCATCCCCAGGGTGGTGGTGGCAGAGATGACGGGTGAGCCTGCTAGAGGTCCAAGGGGTGAAGGTGTTGGCACTGAAGAAATCCCTGGAAGAGACACAGGTAAGCAGGAATTAGAGTAAAAACAGCGCGCTGCTATCCAGGACAGCTTCTGAAGTCAAGTGGGAGCTTTGTGGGTCAGTTATGTTTCCAGAGCTGCCAAAGTAATTAAAGACATAAAAGATCTGTCACTATTCTTTGCAGCTCTGGCAAGGGCACGGATTTGCACACCCCTGAGTGTCACTGATGGGCAGAGATGTGGCAGGATCACAGAATGGTTTGGGTTGAAAAGGTAACCTTATAGCCCCTCTTGTTCCAACCCTCCCGCCATGGGCAGGGACACCTTCCACTAGACCAGACTGTCCCAAGCCCTGTTCAACCTGGCCCTTAAACAAATCCAGGGATCTGAGAGCCACAGCTTCTCTGGGCAGCCTGTGCCAGTGAACTGTCCTTCAAGCTGCTGCCAGAAAATCACCCGCAAAGAAATTCTTAAAATGAGACCAGAAAAACAGGTCAGGCTGCCCAAGGCCTTATCAGACTCTCCCACCCACTTACTCTGCAGCTCTCGTTGCCCTTGTCCCCAATCCTGGGAGATGACCCAACACCGCCCTGCCTGCTGAACTCTCCCTCCTGGGTCCTCCCACCCACCCCACAGACAGAAATGCTTCAGCACACCAAGCACCAAGTCGAGCTGGCAGAACTGACCTGACATCATGCTCGCACTGCTGACAGGAGTGCTGCCACCCGCCATGTTGGACGAGCCCATCCGAGCCTGGTCTTTCACAATGGGGTCTAGGAAGAGCACACTACCAGTAAGTGCTGTGCTGCCAGAGAGCTGCTGAGGCACACAAACTGCCTGTGGCCTCTGTGCTCAGCCAGTCCTGGCACTCTGCCTGTTTCAAATAACATCAGCCACCATCTATTGAAATACAGACATTTCCACCAACGCCAGTGGGAAGCACTCAAGAAGGTACCAAGGTCATGTGATATCAGGGAAAATCAGCTAAATTATATGATTTGGGGTTCAGCAGGACTGTCTGACAGGAAATAACAAAGGTTATTAAGGCAAAGTTGATCTTTCTGTGCTAAGCAACTGTGTAATTGCAGAAAGCCAAACCCAGAATATGGGTGTAGCAAGCAGAAAGATTATCAGTGATTACAATCATGTGTCATGTCTCTGTACACATCCTACATCTCTGTGAGCTGTCAGGTGTGTCACTAGAACTTGTCCTCCATGAGATGATCACAACTTACTAACTCATTACTTTCAGCTGCATGTAAATAAGGTTCTCACCTGAACAGGGACAACCCCTTCCTGCCTCCCAGCCCTTCTGTGTCAGACAAGGGAATTCCAAACTTTGCTGAGCTCAGCATTACATGTATCTTTTTGTGGACACAAGTTAATGAACTGTTTGTCCAGCTCTCACATTCCAAGCTATTGGCTTCTCTAATGCTCATACCTGCAAAACATTTCCCTGGGATTTTTCCAACAGGTGTAACACAGATCAATAGTCTGTTAATTGCAGGGGTCCCTTCAGCAGCAGCTAAAAAAACCCCAAAACCAAACCACCTGAGCAAATACTGACATTATGCATTGTTGCAGCTGCTTCAAACCCCTAGATATCAATATCTGTGAAAAACAGCAACTATTTAAAAGCATTTATCAGTGAAAGTAACATTTCTGCTTGCAAAATCAAGACCTGAATATAGCAGTAGCTAAGCAATTTAGCAACAGAAGGAGTTAAAATTTCTGTTTATCAACAAACCAGAATTTTCTGGGTTTATCCAAAAAGAGGAGTCCACGCACACCTGCAGAAAGCAGCCCCAAATTTAGGTGATTTAGCTGACTTTCCTTGATATCACTTGCTGATTCATGGGCCTGACACAGGCACCCAACACTGATTCTTTGGCTCTTGGAGGTGGCACACAGAGACCAGCAGCCTCAGTTCCAGCACAATTATTTGCAGACCAGACTTATCACTGTTGCCATTCTCTGTTCCCATCTGCACAAGCCATGGCAACAGAGATTTCCCAGAGGCAGAACTCTCAGGACAGCAGCTGATACTTACAGAAGTAGGGGTGTTCCATGGCTTCTCTTGCTGTGAGTCGTGACTGGTGATCATATCGCAGCAGCTTGTCTAAGAAATCCAGAGCTTCTGGACTCACCAGGTGCTGGTTCTCACTGTGGACAAAGCGCTCCCATCGCTTACGGGAGTGTCTGCAGGAAAACAGACCCAGATCAGGCCAGGCAGGGGACAGTGATGCCAAAACTCACTTTCTTAAGGAGCAAGAACTGTGACAGATGTCCAGCCCTGAGGGAGGCCACTGCTCCGTGCAGCAGTGCAGGAGGGAGACATTCCAGAACACGAAGCAGTGTCACCGTGTCTCCACGCGGTGGCACAGCAGTCACAGCCCCAGCACAGCCACCTCGGCCACCACAGCCCCTGCACAGCTCTGCCATGACCCCAGACAGCAGCAGGACTAATGCTCAGAATGGATTACAGGCCTAAAATTGCAGGTTCTGTCATCTCTTATGCACCCAACATGAGTTCCTTTAATTTTAGACCCACTATGAGAGGGGAAAAACCATATAAATTCCATGTTTAGCAGCACCTGAATTTCTGCACTCTAATGCTGAGAAACACCATTTTGATTTTTTCCCTCCAGACTGAAGAGAGTATTTGCCCTTCATGCTTTCTGCTCCAGTAGCTCCTTTATTGCCTGAATGACATTTAAAAATCTTTCCTCAGGTCCATTTCCATATAAAGGACTACAGAAAGCACTGGCAAAAGGGACCAAAGGCACAAAGTGTCAGTTCTACAGAATCCTGGCTCTGATTTCTCCCCCAAATTTTTGTTCATTTCAAGGTCTGTTGACAAAGCTGTAACTGTCTGGATCTACCAAAGAGACTCCAGACCTTGGCTCACCTGCCCAAAATGTCATTGAAACGTGGATCCAGCTCAATGTTGTATTTGTCAATGTAGTCATACAGATCTTCTGTCCCCAGAACCTTGGCTATCCTCACCAGCTGGGAACAAACACAAAAACAAGTCACTGCTGTGAAGGTATGATAATACCAGAGCCTGCATGGAGATATAGCAGCACATTCCCATGGGAGCTGGAACCTGATCCCAGCAGCATGAATCAGAAGCCACAGGGTCAGCCTGTGGCTCTGGCCTCCCCAGCCACACAGTCCCAGGCATCAGGAACACGGCTCCACTCACAGCTGGAGCTCAGCACCCCAAGGCAGCCAGGAGGGAGCCACAGACCCTAAAATCTCTAAAACCTGAGACCTTGCAACACCACTTTCCTTAGAAGCATGAAAATATTCAAAACCAACAGAGGGGAAGGCAAGAATAACTGGTCAAAAAAGCAGAAACTCTGGATCTTGCACGTGAAAGGTGAAGCACCACCCCAGAGAGCTCCAGAATAAAGGTTTGAGAATACAAGCTCCCTGTTCCATAATATTTGCATGGCAGTCACATGCTGAGCATGTGATAAAAGTTTAAAAACAAAAATTTTGGCCCAAAGGCAACACATCAAAGATTTCAGAATCTGGATAAACCTGTACCAATTTCAGTTTCTACACAGAGTGGGGGAAGAGTGAGTAGTGGCAGGGGCTTTCCACTTAACCTCAGGAACAGTCAAACTATGTACCAGAACACACCATCCTTAATATAATTATTTCTACAGCTTTTCCCAGACACCTACTGAGGAGCTCCTAAGTACAAAGCTCTATAAATCAATTTCTACTTAATTGGTTACATAATCTTGCACACTTGAGAAAAGGAATGTGGCTTCAAACTGAGCTAAGAAGCCATTAAAGAAAGGCTTAAAAAATCTCTGGATGACTTGATAGAAGCCTAAGCAGGAAACCTTCATGGTGCTAAGAGAACAGACATTGTACATGACCAGCTCTCACCTGATCATAGTTGTCATGGCCATGGAAAAATGGCTCCTTTCGGAATATCATACTAGCCAACATGCAACCCAAGCTCCACATATCCAGACTGTAATCATACATCTGTACAAAACCAGAAGGACAATTCAATTTCTAATGAATTAAGCAGAACAGACCTCCAAAACTAACAGGGTTCCCCCACCCCACCAAGGTGATATGAACACAGCCATGTCATGCTGGAAACAAACTGAACTATCTTCACGTATCTTCATCCCTAAACCACTGTTCAGCTCACTGTTCCAGTTACTTAAACTGGGATACAGCAATTAGCAGGACAGCAGGTATCCTAATTCCATCCCTGTCTGCCAGGATATTAAAGATCAGAGCTTTCTTCTGTTTTCACTGCAGACTCCAATGTTATAAACCACTGAGAAATGTGTGATGGGAAAGGAAGCATTGGGACAAACAACAAAAGGTGTGGACTCCCCAGGGTCTATGGACAGGTGAGGATGTGCTTTCTTCCAAAACCAGCATGGTCTGAAAGTCACCAGGAACACTGTGATTTCCATAATGCAAACTGCCATCAGATAAGGGGATGCTTTTATAGCTTAATTTAGAAGTTCATGCAGTACTTGCTGTTCCCACAGGGGCTTTGTTTCATTTCTGTACCTTACTGCAAACACAGCCTTGCTAAAAAAATATTTAACATTTGTATTCCAAGATCCATAATGATAGTTCTGCAGCTCTTCCTCAGGTCCTGAGACTACTCATTTGTATCTTTCATTCAGGGGCTTTATGGCCACTGCTTTCTGCCATACATTTTGGAACAGACTGTCTTTAGCTTCAGCTCTCTAGACATCTGAATTTTGGGCTGATATAACTTGAAATGGCACTGACTTTCCATATCAAAGTCAGTAAGAAGTCCTGGTAACTCTTACCTGATAATCTACAAGAAGTTCAGGTCCTTTGAAATATCTGGAAGCCACTCTGACATTGTACTCCTGGCCAGGGTGATAGAATTCAGCCAAACCCCAGTCTATTAGTCTGAGCTAAAAATGGTAAAAACAAAGAAAAAAGGCTCAAGGGATGCTCCAGTTTACCACTGGTGAATTTAGTATGAAGTTAACTTATAAATCTTCCATTTTCAATTAATTTGATCAGTGTCTGGTTACATATTCTCCCCAAACCCATATCACCAAGCAGTCTAAATAAAATCTATAAACTTATAATAAAACCTATCCATACAACCCTGCCTGTGGGTAACATGTGACAAAGTAAAGCCTCAAAAAGCAGCACAATATTCTCATTTTACATTTGTTCACACCATGAGAGCAGAGTTCCCCTCAAAGAGGTCTGCTAGTACCACTAAGCAGGAGTACCCAAAAGGGATGGATCAATAGTTTGCCAAAGAAGAGCAGGACCCCTCCCTGCCCCCCAGCCACCCCACACTACCTTTCTGTGCTCATGGTCAATCATGACATTGTGAGGTTTGACATCTCTGTGCATGATTCCCATGCTATGGCAGTAATCTAGAGCCTGCAGGTGAAAGGAAACAGATGCTGGAATCACAAGAATCTGCCAAGTTAAACATATTCAAAAGTATTTCCACACATATCAAGTCTAACTTGATGGCAGGACTGTCCAGTGATAGATCCTAGACTAGACTCACTGATCACAGAAAATGCTTCTAGACCCACCCCCCAAAGGGAGGTCCCAGCAACACAAATGTCTTTAGTTTACTTCACGTGCTTCCTCATAAAAATTGGAATTTCAGAGTCTCTAAGAGCATAGTTACTAGGCACTAATGATCACACAAGCCCCCTTTCTCCAGACTCCTAAGGAGAAATTACTTAGTTCAGAAGAATGGATGAAGTTATTTGACTCATATTATGCCTGAGCACAAACCCAGCCAGTAACAGCTCACAGTTTTCTTCTTCCAGAGGCTACATGTACTCCTGATTTAAGATTTTAAGGTATCTCCATGTACCAAAATGCTGAAAAACAGATACTGAAACAGATATTTTTCTGCCCAATTCTTCCATGGACTCTCCTTCTCTTAGTGATATGATGTCACTATCATCAATGACATGAGAACCATCTCTACAGGATTAGCTGAGAGCAAATACTAGAAATAAACCAACAAAACAGCAAAACACCAACTTACCTTCAAAATCTCATACATGTAGAATCGAATATCATAATCTGTTAATGTCTGGTATAATTGCTGTGGGACACAAACACATCATGTCAGTGTTCAACATCCAAAAAACTCCTGTTCTGGGCTGCTGGCATTCTCCAAAGCCATTTGAAATACAGTTCAAGTTTCTCAAATTACTCTGATCCCACACCTGACTCTGATCAGTCTGTTCCTCTCCCTTTACAAACCCCATACGTAGTTTCCTTCCAGCTTTGCTCAGACAGCACATCCTGGCTCCTGTCACTATCTCCCTCTGGTGATATTCACCCAGCACAAGCATGATGGATGGCATTGCACAGTCTTTCTTCTTCTGAGGCAGGTCAGTATGAAGGGACAAATAAACATTTAAATCCCCATTCCCAGGAGTATGGAAGGCCACATAAACAGCTGTCCACATTTAAAGTGGTTTCCATAAAGAGTTGTACACATAAAAGCCAAATGCCTCAAAAACACAGGCACTGATGGGCCACAAGGTAACAGATTCATTTGCTCCCAAGGTTAAATACCTCTTGGAATCTGCATTCTCCTCTTGTAACTTATGTGGCAAAATGGTACTGGTGGGCTAATTACAAACTTCTGTCCCAACTGCATTTACCTTTAAAAGCATTTCCCATGCTGGAAGGAAATGCCTATCCTATGTACTTTCCCTTCCCCAGAAAGACCGTATCAGTGGTTTTCAAACACAAAAAAAAAAAGAGAAGTCACATCCCACACTGTACCTTAAAGTCTGTGTTGTTTACATGTTCAAAAACCAGAGCGGGTGTTCGAGACTGAAACAGAAAAAAAAAGCATTCAGCCATGTTAAGTTATGTTTCCACTTAGGATAATGAATTACATAGTTTCTTTTCTACTAAAACTGCACAAAATCCCTCTGCCTTGGACATATTTATGATTCCCCCAGACAGAGAGAGCAGAGCCTAAGCCCACAGCCTCCAGCAGCACTGTTTGCAGAGCGAATTAACTTGTCTCAGCTCACTGGTATCTCTTCCTCACAGAGTGAGGGGCTGGAGGGACCTGTGGGGGAAGGGCCCTCTAAAAGAAGTTTATCAGATTAAGAGCTGATCTGATCAGTCAATTCAAAAGCAGGATTTAAGAGCAGGGGAAAACAAAAAGCCAGGTCAGAGCTGAAATCAAACAGAGCAACTTCACCCACAACCCCAATGTACTCCTTGAGTTTCTCCCTTACTCACCACAGGATCTTTTACTATATCTGCAAGGGTGATTATATTGGGACCGCCTCGCAAGTTCTCTAAGATCTTGATTTCACGCTTGATTTTCTTCTTTTTAACAGGCTGAAGAATAAAAACCCAAAGTGTAAGATAAAGCCCTGCAGTAAAGTGAGGCTAATAGCTCAACACCCAGATGACATCATCCAGGTGACTGCAGATCAGCAAAATATATTGAAACATTTGCAATTTAACTTGAGTATGCATCACACCAGTAAGGGCTCAAATATCTGCTGTCTCCTTTCTAACCACACAACTCTGACAGCTACAGACAATAACTCCAAGTGAAGGAGAGGTTGGAAGATGGCATTTTTTTAAAAAGCTCTCTGAACATAATCTGATAGGCCAAGAGGAAATGGCCTCAAGTCATGCCAGAAAAAATTTTTTTCACAGAATGGGTTGTCAATACCTGGAACAGGCTGCTCCAGTGGTGAGGACACCATCCTTGAACAGATTTAAAAGATGTAGATGGAAGACATGAATGCTGGGGTGTTGGCTGGACTTGATGATCTTTAAGTGCTTTTCCAACCTGAACAGTCCTGTGATACTCCAAGATTTCTTAACTGGCATGTGGCAAATGTTTAACTATGAGAAGTCCATGGGCTTTTGGAGGGTCACTAAATGAAGGCCAAGGCTGTGACAGCCTGCCATGACACTGGCACTTAGTGAAGCTGAAAATTTTGTAGTCAGCTGCTGAAATGTTGCTTAGTTCCAAGTAAAAAGGTGTTGCACATCAGGGCTTCTTTAAGACAGAGCCTAATTCCTTACAGGCAGAGATCTGACTTAAGTGCACGGTTTATAGATGGCCTGTTTCACTGACACTCCAAAGCCAGGAGTTTAAACTCAGGCTTTAAGGATTTCAGTTTTAGAACATCAAAAACCCCTTTCTGGCCTCCTGATCACCTCAAGACAGATTTTATCTTTTGCCCAATCCCCAGCTCACCTTGAGAATTTTAACAACTACTTTTTCATTATTTGTAATGTTGATGGCTTCAAATACTTCACTGTATTTGCCTCGGCCTAATTTTCGAACTAGCTGGTAGTCATCTTGATTTCTGTGGAGAGAAAAGGTTAGAGTTCCAAAGGGCTCACTCATTTCCATCACAATTTATAAACTGCTGCTTAACACTCAATCACTGCCTCACTTGACAGACAAAGGGGATTAACTAGTGCCTTACCTCTCCTGAACTGGATGATTTAAGAACTATGAGAGAAACCGGGAGCTTCTATTTGCCCAAGACAGATTCAATCCAGAACGATGGATTGAAAGCCCAACTATGTATTTCAGCATTAGCAAATTTGAACTATCCCTTCTCTCTACATTTGGAAGCTCCATTTTTCCTTGTATAATGCCGGTAAAATTCAACAAAGCCAGTACAAGGCAAAATCTAAGTGCAAGGCTGTTTAAAAACAGTCTGGGCACAAAGCAGCACTCATGCTCAGACGACTGTGTACATTCCAGAAACTGGGAACTGCACAGCTGAGGGCAGAACTCTGTCTGGGCCCTCCATATCCCAACTATGAAGCTGCCACCGCTGCTGTCTGATTCTGGGACAATTTAGTCATGAGCTCAATTTAGACACCTCCTTCCTTCAAAGAGAAGCAGCCATGTCTTTTCCAGGCACTCCCAGAGAGCTGAGCAACAAGTCATAAAATAGCATGTACCTATTTAAGTCTGTGGAGCCTCTTCACTTATCCAAGTCAGCAGCAACTTCAGTTTGAAAGTCTTTTCATTTCTTTTCAGCCCTGCACTCAGGACTGTTTGGATTGTTTCAGAAATAGATTTTCTTCCCTCTGAAAGGGGATGTTTCTCGACTACCTGGCAAAACTTCTTCAAACTTTTAAGGAAGCTGCTATACATGTTCTTCCACAACTGGGAATTTAAAAGTTTGATTAAGAAACATTTTTCTGAAGGGAAGTTGTGATCCTTTCCCTTGCCATCTGCCAAGAAGCACGAAAAAGCCTCACGCAGCACAATTGCCTGAACTCCCCAAGTACCACTGTGCAGGATCCACAGGGATTGATCCTGGTACAGGGACATCCAGAAGCAGCCCAGACTTACCCCCACTCAACAACATGAGACTCATAGTCCCAGTACTCCCGGGGTCTGTGTGTGTTCACATCCGTGTAAACTCTGGCCCTGCTCGGCACGGGTCCCGACATATCAGACAGCTTGGCAGGCGGAAGCGAGATGTGAAATCAGAGGCGACCTGCTCTGCAGTGCTGCCACAGGAGAAAGGCCTCAGATTCCTCCACCTGCAGACAGAACATAAACCAGAGGTTAAATTCTCAACGTACTTCAAAAGTATTTAAGTTAATCATTAAAAGCTGCTGCAGAGGAGAGGCTGGAGCCTGCCCAGCCACAGGCCTGGGATTTCTTGAAAGCCATTTGTCTGCTCTCCCTCACGCAGGACCGGCCCCTAGCAAACCAACCTGGTAATTTTTCAGCACCTTGTTTCCAGCTGCTGGTTGTAAAGGTAACTTTCCAAAAGGAAAGAATGCCACGTGCTCTGTATCTGCAGACAGATCCTCTCCTTTCAATTCCAGACTGAAAGCAACAGCCACAGGCTGCAATCTCACCCCGTCTTGGGCCATGCAATGCAACAAAATCAATTCTGCTGGAATGGAAACCAGCTTTAGTCACAACTTCCTACAGTCAAAACATTAAATCTGACTGTCGAAAAGACAGCAGCATCTGGGTTGGATTATGATGCTTTATTCCAACATGAAAGAAATGCACTGCTGCAAGGGTCTGAAGATGTTCTTTGCATTCTGCTTGGCCAAAGTTCCTCCAATCCTTCCTTCTTCCAATGCAATTTTTGCAAAGCTTCTGATAAGTTTCTTCAGTATTGTGACTGGTCAAAACCACTCAAAAGAAAGTTACTGTATATTAGAGACAAACACTGTATCTTTATTCTATATGTCTGAATACTTTATCATCCTGATGTGAATATTTAGGACAGCAGTAACTCACTACAGTTTTTTATCAATATTGTCCCACCCAAGATAAATGTGGTGCCTTTACATGTCTCAAATCTTTCACAAGGGGAAGTTAATACCCTTTTAGATGTTTAAATACAAGAATCCCCTTGTCAGCTTTCAAAATAACTTACAAGAAAGGAGCAGGGAAGAGCATTGTTGGGTGTGCAGCAGCAGGTGGCAGGGCCATACAGCCCTGTGTATGTGCTCAAACAGTGGGCAACACTGTTATCTAAACTAATAGACTTACTTGCTATGCCAATCTTATCCCTTCACAGAAAATGGGCAACTGCCAGACTGCAGAAGGAAGTAACAGCCCCATTTATCACCCACTAATGAGAAAGACCAAGAAATCTGCTCGGAGCAGGTTTCTAGTAGCTTAAGCTACTAGGACACGTCACAACAGAAGAAAATTCTAGAAGCAAAATCCTGCTCTACAGGCAGAGTCCTGGTGTTTATTTGAGGTCTGTAGAACTTCAGCTCCTGTAGGGACCCAGCAAGACCCACTGGCTGTGAAGATGGCAGAGGACCTGGGGAACACAGGTCTGATGTCCTTCACCATGTCACACAACCTGAGCAGCAGCTGGTCCTGCTTCCAGAGGCAGAAGTGCCTGCAAGGGCTCTCTGACATGGACAAAGCCTCCTTAGGTGGGACAGAGCTCAGCAATGGGATATTTTTTGACCTACTGACACACAAATGGTGTTGGTGGCAGCTTCAGGTAGACAGGGTGGAATAATCCAGTCCAAAGGATAAACAGGGACACAGCACTATCCCAAAATCCACTGTGGAAGGGTGACTGAGGCCTTAGACCAATAAAAGAAGGATGAGGCATTTCAGCTGTGTGTCCAGCTAATGGAAGAATATGAAGCATTCCTCAAAATATAATATGTCTATTCCTGGATAAAATGCTAGTCCTCTCACAAAACACAATTTCAGAAGATGAGGCAGCAATCATCTAAGACCTCAAAGCATTTATGTGGCATGACTCAGACACTTAGAAATTAGATGTCCCCAGGCATTACTAGAGCATGCAAGTTTACTAGAACAGTTTAGTACAGTGAAATTTATTAGATTTCAAAGTTCAATCACTGTGTTTGTGTTTCTTCTCACTCCCTGTGCTTCTGGCAGGAGATGCACTGGTCCATTTCCTCTGCCCAATACTCCTTGTGAAGGAATTAACTGAACTTATACATGTCTCAGATGACTTAGCAATTTTAATTTTTAAGCACAATCCAGTATAAATAAAGCACACGTGACTGCTCCCCTCACCCAGCTTAGCAAGATCAGTTTCAGCACAAAAAAAAAAAGAAAAATCAATCACATTATCTAAAGATAGATCAAATTTCACAGTGGCTATTTTTTGTCACGTAGCTCTAGCCTAGCTCAAGCAGCACATTGTAACAGGCTGCTCAGAGAAGGGCTTTTTCAGGAAATCATCAACTGCAGCTTCTAAGAATGGCACACAATGTCTATTTATGAGGGTAGGTATTATTGTCTACTATTCTTTACACAGGAAGGGGAGAGAATCTGCACAGATAACTAAATTTTAAAGCAAACAGTTACAGACATACACAAACTTACCCTGCCTAAAAGCTGCTCACTCTCTGCTCAAAACTGCCAAGGAATTTGTATAGATTTTTGCCTTCAGTGCCCCTGGAGGGGGATTATTTTGCAGTGGATCCAAGCTCTTTGGCAGAAGGGAATGACACAAATAAGGACAGATAATGGGGCCAGGTGTTGACATGCAAGCATCAGTTGAGCCTGCAGTTTTAAAGCAGAAAAATCTACAGTATGAGCAGTGACTGCACCTAGAGAACTGCCCTGAGCTTGTTAAAACAGATGAGTTCTATTTCTGCAGAATCCAAACAGAATGTTGTCATTTATTAATTCCTGCATTGATGACAGAATCATAGAATATATTGGGAGAGTCTGCTCAACATCACCTAATCAAAGCAGATGTGGTGAGATCAGAGTCCAGTGTAGCCTTGAGCATCTCCAGAAACAACATTAAAATTTTAATTTCTCTGGTAGAGAAATCTTTAACTAGGAAACAACCATGAGCTTTTAGGTAATGTACCAGAGGTCACAAAGAGAGGAAGACAAAGCTCTGACATGCTGCTCACTGCCAAGGCCTGCCTGTGCAAGGACACAGAGCAGGGCTTCTCAATCAGCCCGTGGTGACACCCCTTGGACAGATAGCACCCAAAAGGGCTCACATGACAGCTAGAGCAAAGGAACACCATGCCAAAGTTACACTGCTGGCTTCTCCCACACAGGCCTGTCCTCAAAAATGCCGTTGGAGTATTAACAAACTGATAATTAGCTGATTTCTGACACAGCAGCCTTATCAAGAGGAACCCTGCTCATCCCAGACAAGAACAGAGCCAAACACAGCTCCTGTCCTGCTGACAGACTCCAGGGGAGTACCCAGAGCCCCAGCCCAGAGACTAATAACTGTGCTGCCACCATATAGGAATTTTTTAATTGGAAGGCCTACTAATTAAAAAAGATCAGTTCTTAAAAGTTTGAATTCTTCTAACAGTAGCCTGTTGTCTGAACAGCTTGGCAAGCTGAGACATTTTGTGCCTAAATTTCAGTGAAATGGTAAAAAGCCTCTCAATGCTCTCTTTAACTCTGTTTTTTAAAACATTTTAATCTAAACCAGTTACAAACCCCCTCATTTTTAAAAAAAGGATGTTATCATCCTTACAATGCACTCTAGTTCTAAGGGCAACCATGCCCCCATAGAGAATTTGGTATTTTGTGAAGGATCCATACTTCCAGCACCTACTCCAATTAGTACAGGAATTTCATACACCCTCTGTCCTTCCAGATGCATGCACTTAGAGCAAGTAGCAACAAAACACAGCTAAGAAATCCAGGCAGATTAGTTTCTGAGAAACACACCTACTTCGCCTCTAGTAAAATTTGCCTTTTTTTTTTTTTTTTAAGCCAGAATAACTGAGATACCGGATTTTTTTTTTTTCTCCTTTTAAATGGAAATGTTCTTGGCATGGAACCTCTCTCAAGCAGTTACTCATTCAGAACTTAAAACCTATGAAGTTGCCCCAGTATGATGCAGCACTTACACAGGCTCCCAGTGAGCTGAGAGCCAAGAGCTTCCCGGAAGACTGGTGTCCCAAGGAACTCACAAGTGCCATCCAAGTGATGACCTTTGTGGATAAGGTTTGGAGTATAAATAATGCAGCCAAGAACACAAACACAGCTTGACACTAGCTTCCCTGTGGATTGCTGTTAACAGCATGCCTTGCCCTCAGCGTGAACAGTATATTGCCAGAAAGATCCAAGTTCACCCAGAGAGAGTGGAGTGAGCCCAGAAAACCTTGTTCAATACCCCATAAACCCGGTTATTCCCGATGACCCACCTGAACTCTGCTTCAGTGAGCCCACAGCAGTCCCAAAGGAGTAAAACAGGCCCTGAACTCGAAGAGGCAAGAAAACATTTCTGTAGCTTTATGAACTCCAGACAAGCTCACCTTCCTCGAGGAGAAAGCAAAGTGGACAGATTGGCCAAACAGGTCTAGAGACTTTCCTCTCACTTCTACTTTCCCCACGTAAGCTCATTACAGCGGCGATTGTGCCAGCCTAAGACTGTAAACAGGCTGAGACAGCAGCGGGTTTGTTGTGAGAGAAGAAAAGCTCTGTCAGTGGAGAAGAGCAGAATTACAGCACAGAGTCTGGAATCAAAAGGTTATTCCCCTTCTTTCATCTACAACTGCAAGCAAGATGTTACCTTTCACAGCAGAAAGCTTAAACCCAGCCTCTAAAATCATGAGTGTAAAATGTGATTTGGTAGGGTGAGCAAGAATTACAATTATCAGATGAAATTGTTGATGATTTCCTTCACATAGCCCTGTAATCCTCCCAGGGAGGTGCACTTGCTCCTTCAGAGTTTGAAGAATATCTAATACTGGAGAAACACTGAAATTAAAAAATCAAGACATGCCTAAATTTTACAGTACTGCCTGCTGGCAGTCAACATCAATCAACACCCAGCTTACTTTTAAAAGAAATAATAGTAATCAACGCTATTAAAAAATATGCTCTCTCTCACAAAAGAAACCTGATTTGGGTATTCTCATGATGCTGAAACTTCAGCAATACAAGAACGGAACAAGTGACCTCCAGAAGTCCCTTGCAACCTATATTTTTCTATGATTTTACAGCTAAAATAGAAACAAGCCTGGATTAACAAAATTGACATTTTATATCCTTTCCTGAAGATCATTTCCCTACTAAAAGGAACAACATTGAC